CGGGCGCGAGCCCGAGTCTGTCGGACCGCGACTGGGTCCCCTCCCGCCGCTCTCTGGTTTAGCGCGGCCCGTACGAGCTGAAAGAGCCGCCCCTGCCCGGGCGGCTGCCTGTCGTCCGCAGCCGCCCCGGGTTTGGCGTAACGCGAACAGACACTTTGCCGCTTCGTTCTGTGTTGCACGCAGCCGTGGGATCCCCAGGAACGTGCTCCTCTGAGCCGTGTGGGAATAACGCTTGTGGGCTCAGGTGTCTCTTCTAACTGTTGAACCCGTGCCCCTTGCCCGTTTGCCTGGCTTTGTGCAGGAAGTAAGGTTACGAACAAAACCGTAGGGTTTTGGTTTCGGAGAGTAGCCGAACTCACATAGCTGAAATTCACATGGTTTTGGTGCCTGTGTTGTGCTGCTTCTATGAAATTCTGAAGAATAAAGTTTGATCCTGCTGTTGAAGAGTTTTTCTGCATAAATGAAGACTAAAAACTTACACTTTGGTACTTTGCTTTCTTTGTCTCTTAGGTTAAAAAATTAAATAACTAAGGTCCTCTTTGTGAAACTGATCCTCATTCAAGTGTAACTTTTGATGTATGGTCTCTAAAGCCCCCCACTATGCCAGCAGCTACCGTAGACCATAGCCAAAGAATCTGTGAAGTTTGGGCTTGTAACTTGGATGAAGAGATGAAGAAAATCCGTCAAGTTATACGGAAGTATAATTATGTAGCTATGGTAAGTGAGCACTTGATGTTTATCTAGCAAATTACTGCCAAAACCACGATTACTTCATTAGATGTTAGTAAATTAAAGCTATGAACTTGTTCATCCATTTTCGTTGAAAGAATAATGGATTCTTAATGTTGAATTAATGCTGTATGACCATTGGGATCCCAATCTATTACCTTTTTAAAAGCTAAATTTACACACAGTACTGTTCATCTTTGAAACTGTTAGATGCTTGAAATATGTTTTAATAAAAATGAGCAACGTAAATTTTTATGGGTGTCTTTTGTTGAAGTTTTAATTCTGTTCTTGCAGGATACAGAATTTCCAGGAGTAGTTGCAAGGCCTATTGGAGAATTCAGAAGCAACGCAGACTATCAGTACCAATTATTACGCTGCAATGTAGACTTGCTAAAAATAATTCAACTAGGACTGACATTTATGAATGAGCAAGGAGAATACCCTCCAGGAACTTCAACTTGGCAATTTAATTTTAAATTTAATTTAACGTAAGTGTTAAACGTCTGTGCTGTTGACTGTGTATTTCTGACTTAATGAAAATGTATTATAGGTTGTGAAAGCTATAGCAACTCTTTTTATCTATATGATTGGAATACCATAGATACTTTATGTGAGGAAAACTTTTGTCAGGCAAACGCGTGCTTTCTTCCCTCATTTCTATGGAGTCTGTCTTACTGTTGGTAATTTGGTCAAAAATGCTAAGCAATTTCAACAAAAGTTTTAAAAAGAGGCATTTATACTTAATGCAAGAGTTAGCTCTGCATTGTCATATTTAGCATTTCAGAGTGCTTCTACCTTAACTTAGTTTAACTCTTACTAGTTTTTGTAGAAGTCGCCTGTTACTTCTTTGCGTATTTTTAAATGGAAAATACCAACAAGTGAAGAAAAAAAAATAGTGTAAAGTTACCGAAGTAACTAAAAAAGAAGTAGTATGACAAATGTTATCAGCAAGTGTGCTCTGTCCTCTTTAAAATAACATTATTCTTGTTAAAAGACTCACAACAAGTTCTAGGTAATATTCTAGGTAAAATACTGTCAATTTTCTAATACCGCAGCAGTGTTTCTTGTGTTTTCAAAGCGACTTATTCTATTAAGCTACTATATTTTAATTTTCTTCTATAATAGTTTGAAAGGGATTGTTGGTTCTACAGCATAACTCCTGTGGAGATTTTTGTTCTGGATTATTTTGTGTAAAGTGTTGGTTAAAAAGCAAGCTGAGTTTTTACTGTCTGTTGGAATAGTGGTGTGAACTTTATTTCACAATGTGATTCTTATCAGTGATGAACCTTTAAGTATAAACCTAGCTTTTCCAGGGGGATGAGACACTTCTGTGGAGTTCTAATTATATCTTCAGCAGGTAGCTGTGACAAGGTTACTACTCTCTTGAATTTTTTCATGAAGTAAACATAATTGGTCTGATAGGTTTTCATATGACCCGAGTTGAGTATCAGTGCAAACACTTCTCAAACTTAAATGTGTTGAAGGCTTGGGGTTTTTTGGCAGTTGTGTTACAAGCTGATCACTGGATCATGTTGATAAACATGAGTTAAAACTGCAGCCTACAAAGGAGGTTTA